TAGAAGCAATAAAAGAAAAACAATAGATTTTATGTCAAGAGGATTATTTGCCTCTTTGGGGAACTAAGGTTTGGGTAACAGCCTTGTTCTGGAGCCTCAGACCCAGGCAAGAACCATCTGGCTTTACTTGACTTGTCTTCCTATGGTAATGAAAGATAACAAATGCAAAAGCTCCTGAAGGCAGAATGGTCACTGAATATTGGGGGGTGTAGAGGTGGGGGGGAAATCCCTATAATTCCAAGTGTTCCAAAAGATTTGGAAAATAAATAAAGCTAAAATTAATTTTAAAAGCACTCTAATAATGGCAGTTAGCATTTAGGATTCATTGGGCCTTATTAGGTGCCAAACATCATCGCTGAGTGCTTAAATATATTACCTCCTTTGATCCTTCAAACAGCCATGTGAAGTAGTCATTAAATGGACATTTATGGACGAGAATTTCATTTTCCCATTTCCCAGCTTGTTGGTTGTGAAGCCAGTTCGTGTTCGTATTCATTTCATCCTACTGCTCCCTCAGCCAAGGCTAGAAACAGAGTGGATTCTGACTCTTGAGTGCCTCACTCTCCAGTAACCGACCGCAACCAGTCATCACCGACCAAACACTTTGGCCTCACTCCCCTGCTTGACGTCTTTTAATGGCTCCCATTGGCTTCTGGAGTGAAGTTCAAATTTCTTAACACGGTTTAGGACTGTAATGATCTGGCTTCACTGTATCTTCCTACTCACCTTCTATGAAGTCCTTACACATAATTTTTGCCTCAGCTACATCTGCTACTAGGATGTGCCGTGCTCTCTGATCTGCTTTGGCCCATTCTCTTCTGGTTAATTCTAACACGTTTCCAAATGCTTTCAAGACCAAGGTTGACAGAAGCATCTCCTTAGCTCCCCCGGCTCAAATGGATGCCTCTACATTCTCTTAACATTTTGTGCTTACACCTAGGACATTCATCATATTACTTATTTTCTTCTGTATCTCATATAAGGTAGTGACTTGACTTGGGGGCAGGGATTGTATCTTTTCTCATCTAAGACCTGGTTGACCCTAACACCTCATAGAACCAAATAAATGCTGGTGGCATGACCAAATGAAAAACAAAGACTTTAACAACTTTGGAGAGTGGTTCTACCATCTCCTTGGGTAAGGGACAAGGCAGAACAACGCCATTAGTATGACTAGAAGATGAGCTCATGTTCTGAAGCAGCATCTATTAAACCAATTGCAGTATTGCTAGCTTAGGAAACCAAGTTATACTGAGTATGCTTATCAAGTTTCTGTAACTGATGAGAGAAGCAAGATGGAGAGGGCCAGATGGTTAAGGAAAGAAATGGAAGACTCCTGGAGTACAGAAAATCCGGTATCAGTATGAACAACATTTTAGGGAGTGAAGACTATACACTGAGTATTGCCATTTTAAAATATTGAGACGGGGCGCCTGGGTGGCTCGGTGGGTTAAAGCCTCTGCCTTCAGCTCAGGTCATGATCCCAGGGTCCTGGGATTGAGCCCCACATTGGGCTCTTTGCTCCGTGGGGAACCTGCTTCCTCCTCTCTGCCTGCCTCTCTGCCTACCTGTGATCACTGTCAAATAAATAAATAAAATATTAAAAAATAAAATAAAATAAAGTATAGAGACAAAGGATGGTAATAATTCAAATCATCAGTTTAATTTCAGATGAAGCACAGTATCAAACTTCCAAAATCAGTGACTGTTGTAATGATTAATGGTTATTTCCCATTCATTTAAATCTTGATGAAGGATAAGAACAATGGTGGGGAAAGGCTTTTTTAGGATGTATTAGTAATAAAAAGAGTTTCCATGTATTGCATACGAACTGTGCTGGTAAACATTTCTATTAGTAAGTTACAGCTGCTCCCTAAGGTGGGTATAACTATGTGTACATGACTGCAAATGGAGCTGGATCTCAGACTGGTTAAGTAACTTTCCCAAACTCACATAGCTCAAATGTGGTAGAGCTGCCTCGAATGCATTCATTTTGAATAATTTCCTCCCCCACTCCTTGCTCTGCTCTGAATAAAAGAGAATTCAGTTACCCAAATTATACTTATATTCTCATTTGGAAGAGGATAGAGAAACACTCAAATTCTTCCAAATCAATGATCAGATGGTAATTTTCAAATAGTGCTCTGTTATAAAAACATGTCTGCATGAGTATATTATTTTCATATATCAATTTAAGGAAATCTGGTTTGGGTAAGTATGAATCTCACACCTATATATTAGTCTTATTTTGGGTAGGTGCATGGTTTTCAATGGAAGGATTTAGGATTTTTAAAATAGCACCTCCTAGAGATTTAAAAAAAAAAAACTTAATAAGCAAGAGAATTACCATAGGATTAGGCATCAGGATTGTAGAGGGAAAGGTCTACAGGGGAAAAAATAAGCTGAAGGGTAGAAGCAATTGAAGTAGGACCGGGCTCTCCAAGTGCTCGGTTATTGTTTCTGAAACTCCTTCCACCTGACATATCTGCACAGTCTGGCTTCAGTACTGGGAGAATGGCCAACTGTGGGCACTATGCATATTCATCTCAGGCTTGGCTCTTTTGTTCTGCACGAAAGGTAGCTGAGATCTGCGTAGTTTGGCAAATCATGCAAAATGGGTTTCTCCACAGAGCTTTGCCTCTTCACTAAGACAGAACCCAGACTGATGCTTGAGGCTTTATCCTTTTTTGAAATAAATCCCCCAAAGAAAGTGCAATTGAAGCCTGCTTGTAAGGAGAAGAATGCAAATGTTGGTACAGAAGATCAGTTGCTTGAGAAATAATGAGTGGAAATTTTTAAGCGTTGGTTATAAAATACATTTGGATACAATCATCCTTACCAGCTGTGCCAATGGATGCAACTACCAACTTGTTTTGACTGTGAACAGGAATCAAAAACACATGGCCTGACATGACCATAAACTTTAGATCTAGATGGCTTAATTATAGAAGATTCCAGAACATTGACAATAATTCGTCATCAGTGGGAATTAAGTTATACACAGTAGAAGCTCTCTTAACCAATTTCTCTTTAGCCATTACTGGATTAATTGTGGTTCTTTATCTTCTTTGTAAAATATACCTGCCAATGCCACTGAATGCCCCAGAGTAATAGGTCTTTCTTTCTAGTAACTCTGTGCACCTCTGTGTCTGCTAACAATTGAGTTGTAAGCTTAAAAATTTAGAGTCAGTTTTGTTTATTCCAAAGCCTGTTTATGTCAGTTTTACTAGTTTTTGTAACTATGTAATTTAATGAATCTTACATAACCTATGAAACAGGAGAATAATGGTTCTATGAAAACAAAATCAAATGCTTTGGAAAAATCAGTAAGGAGAGTCATTAGGCAAAAATCTACTAATTCTGTAGAGAAAAAAGTTGAAAACATCGGGCAAATAAAAACCTAACTGGAGTGAACACTCAGATTACTTTAAATTCTTTAAATTTTCACTGTATTAAAACAAAATAAAAACTGGGAAATACAAACTGTATATCATATATAAGGTTTGGGCCAACAAATAAGTAAAAAGGCTTGTAACTGTGATCAGCAGGATGAAATTCACAGCAAAGAAGTTGGCTTCACCCATAATATTGGCAAAATTTTAAATTAAATGTTCATGCTATCCATATCTATCAATTTCTGTAATTCCCTACATTAGCTGCATCTTTCAATTATGGACTTTTTTCAATTACTTCTAGGTTTTTATTGTAATCAGATAGAAGAACTTCTACTGCCAGGTTGCTCAGATTGGGTTTCTTGGACCACAGTAGTATCATCAGGAAATCTGTTAGAAATTCAGAATCTCAGGCCTCATCTGGGGGTAGTGGCCAGGAACTGTGTTTTAACAAGCTTTTCAGGTGATTCTGAGGCCTAAGAAAGCTTGAGAAGCACTGCCCCACTATATTCATCTATTACTGGAAACCCTACAAATGGATATGGCCCTTTTAGAAAGCAGCATGGTACAAGACTTGTCAGAAATCCTGAGAAGTTCCTTCTTATTCGTACTCAGCAATTCTACTTCTAAAAATATTTCCTAAGGAAATAATTCAGAAGAAGAAGAAAAGTTGATTAAAGATATCCATACATAGGGGCGCCTGGGTGGCTCAGTGGGTTGGGGCCTCTGCCTTCGGCTCGGGTCATGATCCCAGGGTCCTGGGATCGAGCCCCACATTGGGCTCTCTGCTCGGTGGGGAGCTTGCTTCCTCCTCTCTCTCTCTGCCTGCCTCTCTGCCTACTTGTGGTCTGTCAAATAAATAAATAAAAATCTTAAAAAAAAAAAGATATCCATACATAAAGATGTCCATGATTACACTATCTGTGATAGTCAAACAATTGGAAGCAATCTAAGAAAGAAGAGAAAAATGATAAATAAGTTACAGGCAGTAAATAAAAAATGTTTGGTATTAAGCATTTGGAAAGTGGTAATGTCCTTATAAAGTTAAAACGTGCACTATGGCTATAATTATGTAATATAAATATCAACTAGAAAGGGGTGCCTGGGTGGCTCAGTCGGTAAAGTGACTAACTTCAGCTCAGGTCATGATCTTGGGGTCCTGGGATAGAGCCCCGTATCAGGCTCTTTGCTCAGCAGAGAGTCTGCTTCTTTCTCACCCTCTGCCCTTCCCCCCCTGCTCATTCTCTTTCTCTCTCTCTCAAATAAATAAATAAAATCTCTTAAAAAATGACTGGTTCCATTGTATCAGGGTAGTACTGGATGATGATTTAATTTTCTTTCTTTTTTTAAATTTTCATTTTTGAACATTATTTTGATACAACCATAGTCATGCTTTATAATAAAAATGCCTTAATTATATCATTAAAAGCACCATTATTTAAAATTCATCCTACACTCTCAACACACAATTTAAAGACCCTCTGTAAACTATGCGAAACACTGCTTCAGTGTCACTAGCCAGCGGTCGTATTTAAAACATCAAGATCTAACATCTGCAACAGATGGGCAGTTAGAGAAATCAGTCTCAACTAAGGAAGCTTTCCGTACCTGAATTATCTTCGTCTTTGCGGATTTTGAGCTTCACCAGGTCTTCACACTGCTGAAGGATCTGAACTGCATCTTCCATTGAACAGTTGTCCAGTCGGATGTTATCGATTGCAAGTAATTTATCCCCGAGTTCCAGGGTGCCAGTCCTGTTAGCCAATGCAGAGCAACACATGATTAATGAGCACTCACCCGCGTCATTTAAGAGGCATTAAGAATAATGTAGCATTATGGCAGTCTTTAGAGAAGAGACGTTCTTCAACTCTTTTTAAATTGCATTTTATTAACAAATCCCTTTTTTCTAGTCTTAGTTTGGATGGCTGCCATGACATTACATTTCAGAGTTATTAAAAACATTTTTTTAAGATTTTTTAAAAAATGTATTTGACAGAGAGAGATCACAAGTAGGCAGAGAGGCAAGCAGAGAAAGAGGGAGAAGCAGGCTCCCTGCTGAGCAGAGAGCCTGATGCAGGGTTTGATCCCAGGACCCCGAGATCATGACCTGAGCCAAAGGCAGAGGCTTAACCCACTAAGCCACCCAGGTCCCCAACATTTTTTTTTTAAACTAGTTTCTTGAACTAGTCCAGGACCACTATATAAGCTTCACTCAGGAATTCAAACTTTCCTAGGAAGGGAGGTAATGGCGCAGGGTGTACAGACACTGGGTGTCCTCATGCTTCTCCACACTGTTGCACTACTTGTCAGGTACTAGGAGAGAGTTCGGAGAGTGAGGGGAGTCATGGTGGGTTAACTTCGTGGGGGTCTGAATCCTGGCGTCCCATTTCCACCTGTACCGGGAAACCCAGGGCCATTGAGAATCTAACACCAGCACTGGACCTCTGCAAGTCTGTTGAAGATTTTTAAGGTCCATCATGAGATGAGAAAAATAATAAGAATGTGTATGTGTTTGTTGGTATATATGTGTATACACATACATATTTGTAAAATAATGAGAATGTATATGTGTTTGTAGGTATATACATGTATACACATACATATATATATGTATACACATACATATTTGTACACCGAAGGTTATGTTTTGGTAAGAACTATCCTTGAGGAATTATGTCTGTGACAGATTGCTAATTGCTTTCAGCCTCTGTCCTCCTCGCTTTTCTTCTGGGTCATTCCCTGAAGATGCACAGCCCGGACTCTCTCAGCACCACTCCCACTACCCTTCTGTGGCTAGAAAATTGCAATGACTGGAGCAAACTGGTGAGGATAACAGAGTTGCCTCCCCAGCCTCGAATTGCCTGCCTACCTCCCAACTGTTACATGAGAGACACACTGCAGACTTCTTTGTCCCAGTCTATTTATGAATCTCCCTGTCATGGCATCTGAGCTTATAGCTATATACCTAGACGCATACAATGTCCTTTCTACTTATTGAGTATTAAAATATTACTTTAATGAAATGACCATGATAATGGATGGAATATTTTTTAAAAAGTCCTTAATTGGACAATAGAAAGTTAATAGTCTTTTATCAGTATTCCCAAAGATTTGAAAATATTTTTGACCTAGGAGCACCTGGGTGGTGCAGTTGGCCAAGTGCCTGACTCAGAACCTAAGGGTTTAGACTCAGGTCATGATCTCCCCGTTGTGAGATCCGGCCCCGAGTCGGGCTCTGCTCCCGTGTGCTGGAGATTCTCTCTCCCTCTTCCTCTATCCCTCCCGCCCATGTCCTCTCTCTCTCTCTCTCTAAAATAAGTGAGCAAATCATTAAAATAAGTATTTTTGATCTGTGAAATCAAAAGTTTGAGACTCTCTGATTTTGACGGTATATGGACCAAACAGAAGACAAACATTGTTCAAGGCTCAACGACCTAGCTTGGCTAGGGAGGACATTCTGGCATTTAGAAAAGCTCTTCCACAAGCAATGATCTATTTCCATGTGGGGTGTTTCTTATAATTGGGGCCATTTCCAGTTTTTTAGCAGGAAAATGAAGGCTGGAAGATGAACAGTGAAGGAGAGTGTGATGGACTCAGGAAGGACCCTAAAAGGTGACTGTTGTCTGCAGTGGGTACAGAAATAAACTGACATGAGGAGAGCTACAAAGTCATTGCATGAGGAATGTTGAATACAATCGCTTAACAGTGGCTGTCTGGAGAACATTAAGAATACCATGATCCACTAAGAAGGTCTACCTTGGGTGTTGAAAGGGTGTCATCTCTACTTTAATTAAGGAATGTCTTAATGTCTTAGTAGAGCATGTGACTTTTGATCTTGTGGTTGTGAGTTCAAGCCCCATGTTGGGGGTAGTTACTTTGAGAAAAAGAAATGCCTTGGAATGAACCAGAAAATTCATTTTTCTTACCTGTGTGCCACACTTCCTTTCTTGATATCTGATATGACAAGGGGATCTCCTGGTTTTCTGCTAGATGGTGCTGTAATAATGAAGTTAGAATCTTTATATCCATGATTCACCCACTCCGTATAGTTCCTATTTTATAGCAATGGTTAATGCAAGTACATATTTGCTTTGTATGCAAAGCAAAGATGCCAGCAAACGAATAAAAAATGTGCACATTACATTTTCTTAATACAAAAATGTGTTAAAGTATGTATAAGCTTAAAAACGAAAGCAAAGTCATTTTAAATTTGCAATTGGAGAAAGCAATCACGGAGCTGACCATCGGGTTTAAATCTATTTCAACCTGTGATTCCAAAGAGAAAGGTGAAGAGTGAGTACCCAAAGAGGAGACTATCAGAAGCGACTGGGGACTCTCATTAGTGGTATCCATATGTGCTCCCTTCTCCTACTTCTTCCCTTACTTCTTTTTGGTGAGGAGACATCACCTTTTGTGGGACCATGCCATATTTCTTCAGGTATATGGAATTGGAAAGTGGATGAGATTCAGTGATTTAAAGTTCTTTTTCCCCCAGAAGGAAATCTTTTGCTAGATAGACTGTAAATCTTAACATTTTGCTCACACATTCATACCTAAAATGCTCTGAAGTGTTCTGGAATATGAATATTTTATTTTATTGACAGCAGTCAATATTTGACTTAATTATATTTTTATACATATTCATATTCTAAATGTGAACATTCAACTTTTATTGAGTTTACAGATTATCCTATTATCCTGCACAGTGGTCAGTTTTTGGTTTTATAACTTCTCTCAGATATTTCTTTTTGATGAGAATGAAAAGCAATTAGTTTTGGGTCTACCATTGAGTTAATCCTGAAAATGAGCTATAGTTCACACAGCACAAAAATATCATCTTATCTAGAAAGTGTATATTTAATTTAGGTGTTTGATAATTAAAATAACCCATACTGACATTTATAAAAAAAAACAATTTGCCTCTGAGAGGAGATGTTTTGCCAGTTTGAAGTCTGTAGTGATTTCCTTTTAAGGATCATTAAAAGGCCCCTAAAGTAAGATTTTATTATAAACAGGCTGATCACCCCATAATAGTCATAGAACCATAACATATCCCATAATCCCACCTGAATCCCAGGAAAATGTTTATGCATAAGAACAGATGGTTTAATATTTCAACATAACATTGAAAGAAAAAGCAAATACATAAACCAATATCTTACCCACTATCTAAATTAGCCCATAGTAAATGTTAATGGGACTTGATTCAATCATTATTCTTAGCTTCTAGCAAAGTATGCAAAACATTCTATTCACTACAATTAATTCATAATTTAAACCTCCACTCGATTTGATATAATTCCTCCAGAGAAATAGAAATATTTAGCATTTTTATACATGTCATATTTTACAACTACAAATAGTTTTGGACATAGGGCTCAAAGACAAAAACTTTGTTATTACCCCAAAATACAACTTTTTAGCATCTGCCAATGACTTTATACTCTATTTTGCCAAGCTGTAGTAACCATCACAAAGCACTCAATGTTTCCCCTGGTTTTTAATAAAATCCATGCTCCACCGAAATGGTCTGAAATGAAACAATAGTAGAGGCAACAAAATACATCAAACCCATCTCTGTCATCTTTGCAACAGAGGAAAATAGCACTGGGGTCTCTTGGACAAACCCACCCAGCTTTACAGAGAGGTCTGAAACTTATTATGGCATATGGACACATATGGTGGCCATTCTCATGTTTGCTAGATTCTTCTCTTTCTCCTTTAACCAAGATCATACCTGAGGCTTGAGAAGCTCATCAGGGTAGATGCCCCTTGGAGTGATGAAGTTGAACCCAGAAGTTGGTCCAAATCTGTACAAGCCCCTGGCACTGTGGCTCCTATGCCTACCAGGCATGTTAAATGTGGTTCTGGGGGCTCAGATATCATTTGCATACCCCAGGACCTATGTTTTAATTCTCCACTACCTGGGAAGAAGTCATAAACCAAGCATGCTTTGCTTGACTTGTAGGGCTTTAAAAAATTAAATTAGTTGTCAACATTTAAAAATTAGTAGATTTCATACACATGTATAGTTTGTTTTAAAAAAACTGGACAGGCAATATGGTAGAATGATCAAGAGCTTGGCAGCCATAATGTTTGGGTCCAAAATCCTGGCTCTACCACTTATCAGCCACCGCCATTTGAGTGCATAGTCTTTAGGCACCTGAGTTGATCTGCAAATGGTGATGAAGAATAGTAAGAGTGCTTACCTCAGCGTTTTTGTGGCAAGGATTGAGATTTACATTAAAGCGATTGGACCAGTGCACAAGCAATGCAAAACATAATTGTTTACTGTTATTATTATCCAGCAACACTGGACACTTCCAACTCCCCCTTTGGGTGGAGCCTCCAGTTTCCCATTTGCCACTGTCCTCCATGGATGGATCTCATTCACTGACTTGCCCACCTCTGAGGGCTTCTGAATTTGTGACCCTTTGAGAATACACTAGTGCTTAATGGTTCAAATTTGATTGAAGTTCTCCACAGAATCATTTGTTTAATACATATTTATTGATACTAACTATAAGCTAGGCAGCTCTGCTTTGAGCACCAGCCATGAAACCCCTAGAAGTTGCATAAAATGGTGGGGATGGGGGGTGGGGCAGGGATGGTTAAACCTTATGAAGTTATTAGCCATGAAACTCTCTCTTCTCCAAAGTGAGTACAGCTGGGAAGGCCATACAAACCATCATATGGCAGGGAGGTTACCCTAAATGGGTCAAGTGTGTGGCCTAGCAAAGAAGGGTAGCACATGGTTACAGAGTTCTCAAAAAGACAAAATAGTTTCACCACCTCTTGAAATCTCAATATAAACTGGTGAAATGTATGGAACTGAAAGGCTGGTAAAGGAGAAAGAACAAGACACAAATTCCATGTTATAGGATACATGTTAAATTTAAAATACTGCCTTTTCCATAGTCATAGTTCATAAAATAATTTTAATTCAAACTCTTCTATCTCTGTTAGTTGTTTTTGTTTTACTAGAGCTATATTTTTGAGTCATCTACAAGTTTTTTCTAAACTCATCACTTTCATGTCTTTTAAGGCTATTTTGCTGTCCAAGAAGATGATGTCACTAGAAATTGTATGCCAACTCACAAGTACCCATTTGTATAACATCACAATGACTGATATTTTCATGCTGCTCATAGATGGACATTCTTGATCCTCACAAGAAAACTGCCTACTATATTATTTTTTTAAAATTTACTTTACTTTTACTTATTTATATCAGAATCATATATGCATACAACTTGAAGAGTCCAATTTCTCCAAGACCAGCCCTTCATTTCTTACTTCCCCAGATGCTGTTGCTATATTGCTAAATAACATACAACTGTTATTATTTAATTATTTTTCAGTGCTAATTATTTACCATCTGTTATGAAAGATGCTATACCAGCACCATATTCACATACATGTCTTGTCCTGTGGGCTCCCCACATTCTTCCATCGCAGTTTGGTCTGGATTTTTTATAGGATCGATATTTGGTATTTTCCTCTGTATGACTACCTAAACAGTATTCACAGATAAGTCATGTAGCATACCATGACTACTTGCCTTTTCACAGGGTATGTCTTCCCTGTAGTTGTCAATTGCCTTGGTGTCTCTGGATAGTTTTCTTGTATTTATCATGAATTCAACTCCTCAGATCCCAAGCTATATAAATTTTCTCTTAGTATGATAAATCATATCAGGGTTTCTAGCAGAGGTTTACAACTTGTCTGGACTGTTTACTTTCTAGGGTTGCTCCATAGATCTTGGGAACTTCCTTCTCACAGACCCTGGAAGATGTTCTCTTGACTTCTGTTATACTAAAACAAGGAGGCCATTAGACAGACTAAGCTGGCTGTAAAGCTGTGATGGCCTATAGAAGCAACCCAAAATCTAAGCCTGTCAATGCCTCAAAGTTACAAAATCAAAATGCTAAGGAAACCAATCACAAACAGCCAACTAGGCTTTAAGTTACAGCTGATCAATAATTTCCTTTCTCTGTGTCTGTATTTTCTCTACCTGTCTTCCCCCAGGCTCTTGTGGATAGAGGCCTCCTAATTCCTTCCACTTTGGCACTGCCTGATTTGAATCTATTTTTACTTAAATAAACCCTTTACATTTTTAATATGCCTCAGTTCATCTCTTAACCCCTCTCTCTTACATCCTTGGAGCCCTCACATTTTCTCTCCTCTTTCATTCTGTAATGGCTATTATTTGGATATTGTATCCTTTGGACTCAGCCTGTATACTTCTTTTCTATCCTAGATTCCTTATTTGTAGTTTTCTTCTAATTTCTGGCACTTTCTCTCACCTTTATTTTCCAATATTTTAATTTCTGCCATGTTCTTAAGTTCCAAGAGGTCTTTGTCCACCCTCGTATGTTATGTTATGTTATGTTATGTTATGTTATTTATTTATTTTTGTTATGTTATTTTAGACTAGTATTCATTTCTTGCTTCCATCCACACAATATCTTGGGTTGGTACTGATGTTAGAAACCTTGTTCTTTTTTAAAGTTTTCTTCTTCCTGAATGTGCTGCTTCTGCTTTTCTTCTTTGTTTCTGGTGATAGACTTGCATATCAGATTCTTCCCTCGGGTGTCTGCTTTTTCTTAGCTGTCTGTTCACATGAAAAAGGCAGCCCTACAAAGCTGTTAGAAAGCTTGGTGCACCTGTGAGCGGTCTGTGGACTCTCATCCTCCCTGGACAGTTCAGGCCAGGCTGTTTCTTTGGGTCAGATGGCTCTGATTCTTCCTCTTGCTTGGAGGGTATTAAGCCTGGCTACCTTGCTTCTCTGAGTTTATGGAGGAGAAGACTAGCAGTCTCAAGATTCAGTATGTACGCTTTTTTTTTTTTTTTAAAGGTTTTATTTATTTGACAGACAGACAGGGAATACAAGCTGGGGGAGAGGGACAGGGAGAAGCAGGTTTCCTGCACAGCAGGCAGCCGGATGAGGGGCCTCAATCCCAGGATTTGGGGATCATGACCTGAGCCAGGCAGAC